GTCTCTAAGATCAATATCAATTTTACGTAAACTTCCATGAGTATTTTGAATTAACAAAATTAATTGCTGTATTCGTTGGCCAGTAAGGCTTATGCTAAGCTTATGGAGCTTAGTGAGGCTGGAATTAGCATAGCATTCTATCTCTGAAGTTGCAGAAGGATATAAATTACGCCATGGTCGATGATCTGTACCAAAAAGTGAAAAAACTTGTTGTGCAAACGTAGCAACTTGGTTTGCTTGTAAATAAGACACATTAATATTAATATGACATTAATTGCATAATGATAAATTTCATTAATACAATGCAATATTAGTTACCTCGTCCGCCTGGAGTTTGGTTTGGCGTGTTAGTCATAGCAATAGGTTGAACTTGAGTTTGGGTGGTAGATTGATTCTGATCTTGGTCTGCATTTTGATCTTGTATTTGATCTAAAGAATGATCTTCTGGTTGAGCCACAGATGTAGATGTTGTAGGTTGACTTTGTACGTGAGAAGTAGAAGAAATATCTTGAAAAGTATCGTGAGAAGCAGGAGGTGCGGATAGGTGTTGTGTTGGAGACGTAGAAGGCGTAGGTTGGTTTTGTGTTTGAGGTGGGTTCCCTTGATTTTGGTTTTGGGTTGCTACCTGTTGAGGTTGAGGCTGCTGTTGAGCCAATGGTTGGACAACTGGAGCAACTTGTACTTGATATTGGATTTGTGCTTGGTGAAAAGACTGTTGAAATTCTCTTTGCCTTCGGAGTATTTCTTGCTTTTCTGCTTGAGTAACCCATAAAGAGCTTCTTGAAAGACGATTATAAGGGAATTCTAATAATTCCAATGTCAACTCTTCAAGGTTGGAAAATCCACAAAAGTCATCCAGAAGAATAGAGGTGCGACCGATGATAGAAACTTTCTTGATCGTTTCGGTTTTGGATTGAATTGCTGATATAATATTTGGTATATTCTCGTGTGCATGAATTTTAACATGCTGTAGCTTGGTTTGAGCATCTATTAATGCTATTAATCCTTCATTGTCATCTCCAAGTGACGTAATAGTCAAACTTTCAAGTTCCTTGACGACTCGGGAGAATGCGTGAAGTAACTCGATGGGAATATTTCCTTTAAAAAAATATAATGAGTTGTAAACTTTATTAAGGAAAGAATATATGAGAATGTGTGATAATATTCTTTATTCACCTCCATACTCAAAACTTTGTAATTTGGACAGACAAGCCTCGGCACCAGGAAGCCCACATAAATCAATAAAAATTGGATCGATAGATCGAGAAGGAATTGCAATTATGTAAGGACTAAGTGACGGGTAACCGATGTATTGAATAGATTTTAAGTTCGCACATTGACTGATAAATAATTTGCACAATTCTTCAAGGACTAATGTGACATGTGCTTTTCTTGTTTCTTCTGAAATTGTATCCGGAAACATTTCATTGACTGCATCTTGCAAAAGTCGGTAATTCAAAGTCTGTAAGTATGATGCATAA